TTCCTTCCTTCCTTCCTTCCTTCCTTCCTTCCTTCCTTCCTTCCTTCCTTCCTTCCCTCCCTTCCTGGCCAAAGCACAGCAGCATGCCCGGATGCCCCATACGCTTGTTGGTCAGATTACTTACGCTATAGCGAGTGTGAAGTTTCCTTGACCCTCTGGACCGTGAGATCCCAGAGAGCAGATTCTACAGATTAACGTCCACATCCTCAGCAGGCACCCCTCACGGCCTGCCCCCCAACACAGCTTCCTGCCTCTGTTCCCCACACTTCTCACTACTTCTGTGTGCGGCCCAGCTCGAGGGCTCCTGGACCCTGGCTTTGTGGTGAGCACCATGGTGACAGAGACTTCCCCCTACCGGCTTGCCAGCAGCATTGCTGAGATTGAAGCAAGTGCCTCCATTGTGACTTTGACCCCAGTGGATTTCCTCTGCCCCTGCTCCCAGCCTGTCCCTTGCTAGTCACAGTGGGTGTGCCACCAGCAGAGGCCTTTGGGTGGCTTGGATTGACAGTTACAGTTCTGTAAGCACTCTGGGCCACTATGAGATAAACATTCCTTTGCTAAAAGCTTGGTTTTCCTTTCCTTTCAGGTTTGCTCACCACTGCTATTTTCTGCCTTGGCAGGAGCCATGGAAGTCCTATTTAATATAGGAGATGCTGTCAGTCATCAGTTTGTCAGGTTATCTTTTTTAAGGATTCTCATGGGGCATCAGATACCATAGATAATAGCCAGAGAGCGGTTCCAGAATGTCACAGAAATCTTACTCGTGGAACTCCATTTAGAGTCTAAATGCTAAATTCCATCTCTGTTGCCGAACCACAGCTGGTCAAGTGTAGGATTAATGTTCCTATCCAAAGGCCCAACAGGGCTTGGAAATAGCATAGCGTTAAAAACTTGGGCTCTAGATTGCAGGTCTGCCAGACCTGAGTGGAATCTTTGCCTTGCCATTACTAGTTGTGATTTTAGAAAGTAATCCCCCTTTTTGAGCTTCTGTCTCCTCATTTGTAAAACAATAATGATAATAGTTCTTACCTCCCAGGTGCATTATAAGGATTAAATGTGATACTGTTTGAAAAACGTTCAACAGCCCTCTCAAGGACCCAGAAAAGACTGAATGTTAGCAGCTGCCTCTATTATCGTCATTACTAATATTTACTCTGCACCCAAGCTCCAGTTTTGCAAGCCTTCTGCAGAGATAATGGTGTGGGTTTACTTTACAGGGTGTGGATTAATTGGCTGATGTTGACCAAGCATTTCATGAAACCTTTGTGTACGATAGATTAAGTGTGAGTAAGGTTAAAGTTGGTCTAGTTCAAAAGATTTTTCATGTGATGTGCTCTGTACAGAAGTTCACTTCTTTTCGGGGCAAGTGACAGCCCATCTTGCACCTGTGCTTTGTTCCCGGTGAGATCGTACTGGCAGAACAGAATCTTGCAGCCTACAACCACACACATCTGAAAATACACGGCATTTTCGTAAGGTATTTCTAGGAGAGGCTCGGTAGAGCTCAGTTGTACACGGGAGTTCCAGAAAGCAGTGGCTGAGTGCTGTGCGTTGTGCCCCGTCTCCCTGCTGTGTGGGTGGCCCACGGGCGCTCCCTGCCAGCCTGGGCAGTCTGACACTGGCAGCATTCAGGCAGGTTTTCCCACTACACTCGGGGCATTTGCCACCGAGCTGTAGAGAGAGGAATTCAAGTAGTCCGTGGTTCCTGCTTGTTTGGAAGGCATGGAGGGTAGTTATCATGTCTGTTGACCAGTGTCTAAAGGATACAGGTATGGGGGAGTAATATTTTAGACTTAGTTAAGATAAAGAAAAGAATGACTTGAAGGAGTAGAAGATGTTCCTTGAATTGGAAATATTGTAAGCTTAATGGAGAGTCTCCTGAAGGGTGGGTCTTTGGAGACATTTAACATCTAAAGCAGCATCAGCAATTTACACCCTTGGGCTGGCCTCCTATTTCTGTAAATAACTGTTTAAATTTTTTTTTAATGTGTCTTTTTTAGAGAGAGAAACAGTGTGAGTGGGGAAGGGGCAGAGAGAGAGGGAGGCACAGAATCTGAAGCAGGCTCCAGGCTCTGAGCTGTCAGCACAGAGCCTGACGTGGGGCTTGAATTCATGAACTGTGGGATCATGACCTGAGCCGAAGTTGGAGGCTTAACCCACTGAGCCACCCAGGCATCCCTGTAAATAACTGCTTAACTGAGGGAAGCCACACTCATTCATTTATGTCTTATTTATGGCTGTTAGGATTACAACAGCAGAGTTGAGTAGTCACAGCAGAGACCATATCTCACAAGCCACAAAAATCATGTCTATCTGGCCCTTTATAGGAAGTTTGTCAACTCTAGGCTAAAGCATAGGCCTCAGCTCTTAGCAGGACTTGGGATCTTAGAGAGTGGTGTTTAAGAGTGTTGATTTTAGAATGGGACAGACCTGGGTTCACATCCCAGCCCTGCTGCTAACTAGCTGTGTGACCCTGGGCAAGTGTCTTAACCTTTCCGTTCCTCAGTTTCTTCATCTGTAAATTTGAGTTAATAATCAGAACCTACCTTATAGGGTTGTCAGAATTAAATGAGGTAATGCGTGGAATCCACTTAGCGTGGCATCTGTCACAGATTAAATGCTGTCAGTGTTAGTTGCTGTTGTTAGGATGATTCTGTGAATCTGCAAATCCCAGTGCACATGATGCTGTCCCTAGGCAGATGCCAAAGTAGCTTGAGCAAATCGACCTTAAAGCCTCAGCTACTAACTCCAAGAGGAAGAGCAAGGGATTTTCTGATCTAAGAGGCTCTCAGCCCACAGAGTGGGCCAAGACCCGCGTTCCTGTGCACACTGACCTTGAAACAGCACTGCTGAAGATGCTCAACAGGCAGTGTTTCATGGCTGATTGTTTCATGCCTGTCCAGTCTGTATTTTATTGCCCCCTCCCCATTTATGATGTTTCCTTGTAGGCTTAGGAAGTATTTTCCCGACTCCCTGATTCCAAGTATTGCTTTAAGCTGGCGACTTGGAGGAGTCTTCTAACCTTGATTGTTCATTCATTCATTCATCACGCTTTCGTTGGGAGCCTGCCTTGTGCTGGGAGCTGTTGCCTGCCCCTCCCTAAGTGCAGGGCTTGGTGCTCGTGCAGGCGCTCACTTGCCTTGCTCTTGGCCACCAGCTCTGGATAGTTTTGAAAGGGATGGCATGCTGGTAGACTGCCAAAGCTGAGAACTTTTATTATATTTGTTTGATCTTATTCTGGGGAAGAAGAGAAGAGAGCCATGTTTCAGGGTCTGTTAATAACTATTCCTTGAGGCCGATGAAGGAAGTCAAGGAACAGGTTGGCTAGTTGTCAGCAAAGGGGGCTGAAAAAAGTAGGATTAGGGCTCTGATGGGGCTTGCAAAGGAGAACCGTGGTAAAGAAAACAAGCTCCTGCAGAGTTCAGGCCTTGCCTCTAAAGGAATAGTAAGCCCAGGGGAATTAGAAAGTAAGTGAAGGCTAAGGCTGAGGCTGGCCAGTGCCCTCCCCTCATTCTCTCCAGGTCAGACCCTGTGGCTCTGCCCCTCTGTTAGGAGTGAGTCCTGAATCTGAAGACAAGCTTTCACTGAGTTTTAGAAACGTAAGACACGCTTTCTGGGCTGAGTGCATCGATGGTGGGAGGCTAGTGGTGGAAAACTGCCCTGTTGCCAGAGGTTACAGCGATAAATCGGAGAAGAGGAAGATGAACAGGAGGGGCCAGTGAAAAATGGCACAAAACAGGCCTCCTGGGATGTCACAGCTGTGCTTCCATGTTACCATCTGGCACTACTGACCTAGCAGTCTTAAGTTCGCTGGATCTGATCATGTCACGGTGCTGTTGAAATTCCCACTGCACATAGAGTCGAGGCTAGCTCTGGACCGTAGGCCTGCGTGCCCTCACGCTGCCTGCACCCCAGCCTTGTCTTGCTGCCACTCCTGCACCCCTTGCTCCAGCTACTCTGCTCCGTAGCTCTTCAGACTGTGCATCTCCTCCCCATCCCGGTCCCTTCTGGAAAGCTGATTCCCATCGCTAGCTCCTAGTCTGTCTTCAGTGTCTGCTTAGAACCTCTCTTCCTCGGAGACCATCTGGGTCCTCTTGTTAGAGCCTCCTAACATGTCCGTGATTTCCTTTGCAGTTCTCATCATGCTTGTAACAATTTTTTGATGTGTGCTTCCTCCGTGAGAAGACCACGTCTTTGTTGGATATTGGGCACAATATAGTTGTTTTTATACTGACTGACCAGAAGGAGCAGTAACTTGCAAATGGTTGGCGGGCAGGGGGAATGCAGGCTGTTTTAACCTTTTAATTTGCTTTGGTCTTGTTTTCCAAATAATTTCTGAACACGCTATTATTTTACAGACACAAACATACATTCTTTAAGGGATTCTCTTAGGTGACCTCTTTTTTTGGTCATCACTGAAATACATGTATTGGACAAATCTTACCTGCTTTTCTCTTCTCCCTGCAGAATGAGATGTGCCTGGCCACTCAACAGCTTTCTAAGCAGCTGCTGGCATATGAAAAACAGGTAACTTGGTGTTTACGTGGCATGTGATGGGGCGCTCAGGACTGTCATAACTGGGGTTCTTTTAAGGAGTTCTCCAAAGGCGTCCTAGAGAGACCTTGATTTCCTTCTTTCTTTTTGTCCATAGTCCAGTCTTATTTATTTATTTTTTGTCTTGCCTTTCCCTTTCCACTGATAAATTCTAACTGGTGATCATCCCAAAGTATGATATTTTCTAATTAGCACAGAAGTAACCCACTGCCTTGAGAGTTTATAGTCTGAGGGGCTGCAAATGAATCAAATTCCAGGAAATAACCCAATACCAGGAAATAAACTCAAAGATGCCGTTACATCCAGACAGGAGAAGGGTGGTGACCAACAAAGCAGCGGTCAGGGAGGGGCGATTAAGTGCATCGCTGAGGTAGGACAAGGCGAGTGCACCGCTTTTCTGCGCGTGGACGCTTTGACGTGCACTTGGGAGGAGAGTGGGAGGTGGCCTGGGGGGCGGCGCAACGTGGGTGACGCGGGCGTTGCCCCGAGCGTTAACACCTGGATCTTTTATTCTCTGGTCTTAGAATTTTGCTCTTGGCAAAGGCGACGAAGAAGTAATTTCTACACTCCACTATTTTTCCAAAGTGGTAGATGAGGTAAGACCACAACATGGCAAAATTGTATTCTTTCTTGAATTTTCTTTCATGTTTGTTTTGGCCCACTTTCCATTTTTAGATACTTGCTTAAATATCTGAGAAGGTAACTCAACTTGTTGCTCTTCCTAGGTCCGTTTCGTAAGACTGGTTGTATGTGATTAGTTTGTTGCTGGTGTGAGGGGAAGGGCTTTGGTATACATGAATGATGGACCAAATGAAAGATTTCTAAGAACTCAGTTTCCTAAGGAGAGTGTATTAGTTTCTCGGGATGCTAGTAATAAATTACAAGTCGGTGGCTTAAAACAGTAGAAATTTATTCTTTCACAGTTCTGGAGGCCAGAAGTATGAAATCAAGTTGTTGGCAGGGCCGTGCTCCCTCCAGAGACCCCAGGGGGAATCCTTCTTGACTTCTTCCGGCTTCTGGTGACCCTGCGTGTCCCTTGGCAGATGATTGCATCTGTCCAGTCTCTCCCTCTGACTTCCATGGCCTTCTCCCCACACTGCACTTCACCCCTTCCATCTGTGTCTTCTCTTCTTATAAGGACATTTGTCATTGGAGTTAGGGCCAACCAGGATAACCCAGGATGATCTCACTGGGAGATCCTTCGTTACATCTGCGAAGACCTTGTTTCCAAATATTCGTGTTCTGGATGGACGTTTTTAGGGGGAGGAGGAGAGTGGGCACAATTCACCCCACTACAAAGGGTTTCACATAACTGCTCTTATAGCTGTATTGTATAATACATATATTGTATAATACATGAGTATTTGTGGAAAACAGGTATTGTTATGAGAAAAGTACATAAACCCTCATCGCAATAAACATTCCAGCTTAAATGCTACTGGTGCTGGGCAGAACCTTCTGCAAAACTGGGTTGGTATGAACTTGGTATTTCATCTTGCAAGGAGTTTGTAATACTTAGATAGTGGAAAATCATGATAAAAAATGCAGATGCCATTTAACTGATATAAAGTAGATACTGTCTTCAGTTTATAAAATGAGAAACTAGGGCACTGTGGTGGCTCAGTCAGTTAAGCGTTCGACTTCAGCTCAGGTCATGATCTCACAGTTTCTGAGATTGAGCCCCATGTCAGGCTCCACACTGACAGCAAAGAGCCTGCTTGGGATCCTCTTTCTCTCTCTGTGCCCCTTCTCCACCCCTCATGTGTGTTTTCTCTCTCTCTCTCACTCAAAGTAAATAAACTTCAAAAATAAAGAAAATGAGGGGCGCCTGGGTGGCTCAGTTGAGTGTCTGACTTCAGCTCAGGTCATGGTCTCACGGTTCATGAGCTCCAGTCTCAAATCAGGCTCTGTGTTGACAGCTCAGACCTGGAGCCTGCTTTGGATTCTGTGTCTCCCTCTCCCTCTGCCCCTTCCCTGCTCAGTGCTCTGTTTCTCTCTTTCTCAAAATACATAAACATGAAAAAAAATGAGAAACTAACATGACATTGTACTGATTGCATTTTTGTTCATTCAACAAATCAGACCAACAAGGTGTTATTCGTTCAGCAAACATGTACTGAACACCACTGTTTAGTAGATGCTGTTCTGGGCACTGGCGATACAATAGAGAACATGACGTCCGGTTCTTTGTAAGCTTCATCCTCTCTCCCATGACCTTGACTGTCTTCAAAGTGTATGTTAAAATGGATGGGTATCTTTTCCAGAAGAGGAGAATAAATGGAAAAAAGTAATTAGAGGGGAGCAAAAAGTAGTTTTTTTGGAAGGTGAGGAGATGAATGTTTCCTAATTAACTATGAATAAATAACCCAGGAGGGGAAGGAGCAGACTCCACCCACTGAAATCATGTGTTTTCCCGAGCAGAAGACAGTTGCTAAGGAAATGTGGTTAGTCGTCAAAACCCCAGAACCAAGATTTCCAGTTTAGGATATTTACTTACAACCAGATTTTCATGGGCAGGGATGATGATTCTTTTGGTAGGGAGTGAATCATTCCCAAAAGCTGGAAGGCTGGAAATGTGATTTTATAGGTAGTATCATGTCGTCGTCCCCCTGGCCCCGCCCAAGCTTGGCAGTGTAAGGGGCTTTCAAACAAACCTCGTGGTGTAGAGACCTACATGTGTGAAAGCTGTTAGCTCAGGTGGGAAGCTTTTGAGTAGCTTTTCAGGTGGTTTTGTCTGTCTGGGCCTATACCAGGTTGAAAGTTTTCAAGACAAGTCATTTGACTCAGAAATTAAAAACCCAACTAAAAGTAGAGAATCATGTGGCTTACATTTTTAATAGAATGCCTTGGAATCAGACATTCCATGTTGTAGGCATGCAGAAATTTTGTCCTTATTGATTTTCCCACAGGCAGGGTTTCTAGGTCGCTTCCATGGAGTGCACCTAAGACAGGAAGTCGTCATCATTCTAGATTACATTAACGAGTATGTGTTAGCCAAACTCTCTACTCTGAGTGTTTTCTATTCTGGTTACTGTTTTGTCCTCACAGTAGCCATGCAAGGAAGATGGTGTTATCCTTATTTTGGGGATGATGATACTGGAGTGCCAAGAGGTGGTCTCTTGCCACTCTCCTGAGTGAAGGCGCCATGTTTAGAAGCCATCGTCCCATACCTTTCAAAAGCCCCACGGCCAAAAGTTGATGACAATCCCCTTGATCCTTAAGAAGAAACGAGGAAGAAAATGAGTAGCTAGGAAGTTTGTCATTCCTGAAGTGCATGATCATTGGAAAGCCACTTAATCTCCCTGAGTTTTGGTTTCTTCATCTGTAAATGGCAGCAGCAGGCGAGAAAGCCCATTTAATTGGGCTTTTGTAAAGGTTAAATTAGATAATGTCTATCAGAGCATTGAGCACATAGCCAGACACATAGTAGGTACATTTGGTGACTTTCATTCACTTAACTGTTAGTAAAAACAACAGTACATTTTTTACTGAAGGTATTTGAGAGAAATAGTTAACGCATTCTGTCCCGGTGGCATTTATTGGCATGGTGTCTTCATGTGTTCTCAGCAGAACAAAGCTGCCAGCTGTGGCTTAACTGAAAGCTACAACATTAACTGTTTGGCCCATAGCTCCCCTGCCTGGCAAGCGATTGTCTGTAAGCTTCTCAAAGCAGCCTCTGGAGGCACAGTCCTAAAGGTCCAGATCTGTTGGAGGGAGAGCTCTGGGCACACGGGGGCTTTGTATGTAACTGCCATCACCGCTGAAAGAAACTTTGCCAAATGTGTACGGCAAAAAAGATTGCTGGGTGGTTTCTCTTTGTTCACCCGGCAGGAATCCCAGAGCATCCTCAGTAACGTCTACCTTTATTGCTAATGTCTAGACTACCAAACATTTGAAGTTTCGGCAACTTGGCGAGCACGTAAGACAGGCTCTGTATCCAACACGGTGTAGTAGGAAAAGTCTGGAGCTCAGATTCCAATAGCCCAGGATGAAAATCCCAGCTCTGCCACCTCTTTGCTGTCTGGTTTTGGAGAATTTGCCTGTTAAGTGATTATAATAAAAGCGAGCTCCCAGAGTGGCTGAGAACCAAATGATACAAAGCATGTAACTGTGGCACACAGGAAATATTCAAAGGTGGTAGTGCTGAGGTGGATGACTTTATTTCTCCTACGCCATTCATGACAGGATTTCGAAAGGCCCTGACAAGCCGAAGGAAAGAAAGAATCAGGGGCCGTTAAAATTATCTGGTGAGGAAGATCACATTTGAACAGTTATCTTGTTCTTGAAAGATCCTTTTCTGAAGAACAGAGGCCTGGGATCTGAGGTTTCAGTGGGGAGCCTTCTTTCTCCAGAACAATTTCCAGGCCCGTAGCTGCTGTGGTTTTAGGGTTAGTAGGCTCCCAGCAGGCTGGTCTTTCAGGCATGACCTTGGCCCCTGAGAGGGAGAGAGGGAGAGAGCTCACGGTGGCCTGGTAAAGTGTGACCAGAGCTGAGCGCTTGTGGTGACCTATGTTTGCTGCAAGTACACGAAAGCGTTCTCCTCCAGCCGGTGTGGCTCCGACTGGGAACATAGAACCAGGGTCGGCACAGTAAACAGACCACAACGTGGGCTCAGCTCAGAAACTCCTTTAGCAAACCTAACTGATGCCAGGTCAGTTGCAACCTTGCATTTAGTTTTAGTACCTCTAGGCCTGGATCATTTGCGGCTTAAATGAAGGGTGTTCATTTGCTAAGGACGTGTACCTGAATTCTAGCCACGTGGAAGTGTTCAATGTGATCCTGTGCGGAAATCAGATAGCTGCCATAATAGTGGGTATAATTTTTTTTCAGCAAGATTTCTTTTTTTTTTTTTTCAGCTTAATGTTCTTCATACAGAGCTGGCTAAACAGTTGGCAGACACAATGGTTCTACCTATTATACAGTTTCGAGAAAAGGATCTCACAGGTAATGTTCCTGAGTTCAGTGCCAGTTACCTTCAAAATATCAGTTCATTTCATGATACTTCTGACTGTACTAATTTCTTTAAATACTTGCATCATTGAGAAATGCCCTCCTTTTATTCAGCACTTCAGTTTAGCTAACTGTTATTGAATTCCCATTATGTTCTTAGCTCCCCTAAAGGAGGCTATGGGCTAATGAGAGAACAGACTTGGAAACAGTCATAACATCATGTGAGTAGGGCAGCAGGACAGAGAGGTACAAAGAATAAATATACACAGAAAGGTGTGATTACCCTTTGGATTTTTGGGTGCCAGAGAGGGCTTCCTGGAGAAGGTGATCTCTGTGCTGGGTTTTGAGAGATTACCAAAGAGACAGAGATGGCAAGGCTAATATTACTGGTTGGGAGCATTTGTAAAGGCATGCTGTTCCTGGGGAGCCATGAGTGCTTTGGAATGGAAAGAGGGTGGCTCAAGGAAGGAGGGCAGGGACCATGCTTTACCTGTGCTGGACTCTGAACAAGGCAGACCAGCTCCCTGTTCTCCTGGAGCTCACATTTTAGTGGGTGGGTGTATCTGAGACTGGTTCAGAGAGCCTGGTTGCCCTTTTTGACTAGTTTTGGTTCTTCAACTAAAAACCTTAGAATAATTTTATATCTCTTGGAAATCAAGTTAGTCAAAATATGGATATAAAAAAATAATCTTGAAAAAATGTAGTTGGATGTTACAAAAAGGAATCCAAACTTTGTAGTCTTTTTGCTGTTTATATCCTTGAAAATAGTCATTGCTTCGAGATTAAAGAATTATACTTTCTAGAACACTAGTACAAAAGTCAGTGACCAAAAAAGTCTAAACCTGAGTACTAAGAGATCTGTTCAGTATCGTACTTCCTCTTTAAAAATATAACACCTTAAAGTGTAAAATCTGTTTAGGTAGAAAAGATGCAGTATATCTTAGAGACGATGTTCTTTTCGCCCCTCACTTGGAGATTCCCTGTGATCATGTCATACATATGAGGCTATAGGGGACAGGGGGAGGACTGGCATCAACTTTGCCCCAGGGCGGCTTGACAGCACTGAGACTTGACAGAAGAACAATAAATGGCATGTCAGTTACCTTGTGTCAAGAGAAACCTTGCTTGAGAAAGACTTTTAGTGTTTTTGGTGTTGCTCATCTATAATTGCATGAAATTCCAAATCTAAATGTGGTTGCGTGCCGATCATCCAATTCGAACTGAAAGCCTTATTGAGTGCCTTGTTTCATAAAGATTTCCTCTAAATACAATCAATAGAAATGTGTGGAGATACCATTTAAGAACCAAACTCCAAGTCCTTTAGATAGAAAATAATCACCCTGGAGACCTGTGTTGTCAGATTTGTGTCTTTCAGCTTTGTGCCTGGGAAGTGAGCCCCCAGCTGGGGGTGCCCAGCAGCAGCAATGACCGGGGCCTTCCTTAATCCTGAATGGGTCAGGTGTGGATTAGTAGTATTTGCCTGGGATGGTGTTTGTTTTCTTTTGTTTTTTAAGACAATAAAACTGTCTAGTGGTAGTAAACCGAGAAGCTATGAAAACAGAGTTATCTGTTTTAGAGAGTATCTTAGAGTATCTAAATATCAAAGTATCAAAGTAACCTTTTCTGACGACACCAACACGTAGGTTTGAAGTGTTTGGCCTGGGTCATACTTGAGTCAGCCTGAGAAACAGATTAGAATTCGGCCTCCTCTCTGCTTAGTGGTTTTTATCTTAGGTTTTTGTTTTTGTTTTTGTTAATGTTTATTAACATTATCAATAATGTTTATTATTTGAAAGTCAGAGTCAGAGCGTGAGCAGGGGAATGGCAGAGGGAGAGGGAGACACAGAATCCGAAGCAGGCCCCCTCCTCTAAGCTGTCAGCACAGAGCCCAACGTGGGGCTCGAACTCGTGAACCCCGAGATCATGACCTGAGCTGAAGTGGGCCGCCTAACTGACTGAGTCACCCAGGCGCCCCATTTTTATCTTAGGTTTTAATGCCTTTTTCATTTACGTACCAATCTGAATGAAGAAAACACTAAAGATCTTAACGAAGTTATTTAACCCCGTAAGGGAAAACCCCAACACAGCTCCAGTAGGAAGTAAAAGGGGAGAGAGAGAGAAAGGGAGATGAAACCCAACAAAGGCAGAAAGCATTCTGATTCCAGAAAGGGTAAGAATAACGTGAAGAGAGATTTAAAAGCTGTGAGGGAATTTTGAGGCAAACTGAAAAGCGGCATAAAAGATGTGATGTGAAAACGATTTCCTTTGATGAAGCAAAACTGGATTGTTCTGGAGTTGTGCAAAGTATTGCTTTCTTGTAGATGTCTCTGTGTTTTTAAGTTTGTAACCTTGGACAGCATCACCCTCATCTATCTCTTCGTGTTTTTGGTCTCGGACTTTGTTAGGCCTGTCTGTGCGTGATGACGGCTGTGGCACCCACGTGGGGTAATAGTGATGTCTGTTGGCTTGTCACAGGTACCATATACTAGATTGCTCCAGAGTTTTTCGTTAAAACAAGTACCTCATATTCCTTTATTAATGGTGGCCTTGCCAGATGTTACAATGGCAGCAACAGGACATTTCTAGGTTCTGGGTACTGTCAGGATATTCTGAGGAAAGCTGTATTAAAACGCTCTTTTTAGGGGCTCCTGGGTGGCGCAGTCGGTTAAGCGTCCGACTTCAGCCAGGTCACGATCTCACGGTCCGGGAGTTCGAGCCCCGCGTCGGGCTCTGGGCTGATGGCTCAGAGCCTGGAGCCTGTTTCCGATTCTGTGTCTCCCTCTCTCTCTGCCCCTGCCCCTCCCCTGTTCATGCTCTGTCTCTCTCTGTCCCAAAAATAAACGTTGAAAAAAAAAAACAAAAACGCTCTTTTTAGGGGCTGGAGAATATGAGCTTAGGCGTATACTCCAGGTCTCATGAATAGTACCTGGCCACCACACATTCCAGCCCACGTCCCCACAGTGCCCCCTGCTTCACAGATCCCTGGATGCTGTCTAAGACGAGTGGCCCTAGGAGCAGTCAGGGTCACCAGGTATGGGAGGCAGCCGAAGCCACCAGCTCCTGTCAGACCGGGATTCCAAGCCCACAGGGCCGTGCCTCGTGAGGGCGGAGGCCCTGAGGAGGTGCCCACAGAGCCTGCCTCCTACCGTGCATGTACTTCTATTTTCTTGGGGAAGCGCAGAGCTCTGGGTGGGTGCGTTTTATTTTTCTTTGCTCTAAGGTGTTGTGTTTTGTTTTGTTTTTCTCATTCAGAAGTAAGCACTTTAAAGGATCTTTTTGGACTCGCCAGTAATGGTAGGTAGGCATCCTCTCTGTTCTTGGTGCGTGGGTTTAGTGTGGGTGTGGCATGCATGTGGGCGGAGGTGCTGACCAAATGCTCTCGCCTTTCAACTTATCTGCGTGCTAAAATGCCTTTATTTTGGGGCGCCTGGGTGGCTCGGTCGGTTGAGGCGTCCGACTTCAGCTCAGGTCACGATCTCGTGGTCTGTGAGCCCGCGTCGGGCTCTGTGCTGACAGCTCGGAGCCTGGAGCCTGCTTCGGATTCTGTGTCTCCCTGTCTGACTGCCCCTCCCGTGCTCATGCTCTGTCTCTCCCTGTCTCTCAATAATAAATAAACATTAAAAAAATTTTTTTAAACGCCTTTATTTTTAGAGCATGACCTCTCGATGGCAAAATATAGCAGGCTTCCAAAAAAAAAGGAGAATGAAAAGGTAAGCGTACCTACCTTACATTTTGTTTTTCACATCATTTGCTTAAGCTCCTTTTCTAGTTTCCTGTTGTGAATTTGTGGCAGTGAGAGCATCTTGATGAATCCTTTCTCTTCTTTCATATACATAAATTTTTAAATTATTTATTCTGAATCTTATAAGTAGACTTCTGCCTCCCTGTTCTAGCTTTTCAAACTGGTTTATTAAACACCAGCTTGGAACCTTTGTAAAATTTCAGTGATTTCCACATATGGTTCCTCATATGTATTCAGGTCACTTCAATTTCTTGCCCTGGGTGTTGACTCTGATTCTTTTTTTTTTTTTTTTTTTTTTTTTAATGTTTATTTTTGAGAAAGAGAGTGTGAGGCAAGGGAAGGGCAGGGAGAGAGGGGGATAGAGGAACCAAAGTAGGCTCTGTGCTGACAGCAGTGAGCTGATGTGGGTCTTGAACTCACAAACCGTGAGATCATGACCTGAGCTGAAGTCAGACGCTTAACCAAATGAACCACCCAGGTGCCCCCACTCTGATTCTTTAGCTCAAGTTTTTTGGTATTATAGATGATATGGAACTTTTTATTAACACATGTGACTTTTTACTTCCATTACATAATTTCCTTGAGCTAAATTATTTCCTTGGAATACAATCTTATGAGTGAACTAAAATGTTGGTGGCTTTCAGTGCATGCCGCCATATTGTTTTCCCATAGGATCACAGCACTTTGTAGTCCTGCCAGCAGACAGGAGTTGGCTTCACCCCAGTGCAGCCTGGCAAGCACAAAGATGCTAGGACTTTGGTATTTTTAATTTAGAGTTTTAGAACGTGAGGCAGGGGTGAGCCTGGGTGGCTCAGTCAGCTAAGCATTCAATTCTTGATTTCGGCTCAGGTCATGATTTTAGGTCGTGAGATCGAGCCCCTCGTGGGGCTCCGTGCTGAGTGCAGAGCCTGCTTGGGATTCTCTTTCTCTCCCCGCCCCCTCAAAAAAAATTACATTAAAAAAATAAATAAAGCATAAGGTGGAACCTTATCTGGGTTTTATTGTATTTGTCACAGAAATGGGTTTTGTGAATAAAGGGACATTTTCGAAGCTTCGTGCTCTTCTAGAATCGCCATGTCCGTTAGACGAGCCGACATTTTCCTCCCACCTCTCCTCAGGTGAAGACCGATGTTGTGAAGGAGGTGGCGGCTGCGCGTCGGAAACAGCACCTTTCTTCCCTTCAGTACTACTGTGCCCTCAACGCGCTGCAGTACAGAAAGCGCGTGGCCATGATGGAGCCCATGATAGGCTTCGCCCACGGACAGGTAGGCCGTTCCCTTCCCCTGAGGGCTAAGACCTGAGCCGGCTGGGGAGGGCAGCTTGGCATTCCTGCTGAGGTAGTGTTTAGGAGAAACCAAAGAAACACGAATGCACCACCTGCCCGGAGCCTCCCGTAGGTTCAGCACATGGAGAGCTTCCAGGTGGGCTGGCTCATCGTTAGCGGGACTCGTTAGGCTGTACGCCCGGGGAAGTGATAGCCTTGATCCCAGGCCTCCCATAGCGGGGGGAGGCTGGCATGGCCCTTTGTCTCTGAGCCAAGTGAAAGCCAGGCACGGTCTGCTGTTCTGAGAAGCAGCTGACCGCTCAGGTCGGTGGAGGTGGGCCTCCAGCTTGAGACCCCGCACATCCCTCTGCTGCTGTGTGTGGTGGGGGGGCGGGGGTCATGCTCGCTTGGGCCGTTCTCATTGCTGAGGTTATTGCCGGCACCCTTGGCATCTGGGTCGTGGTGAAATGTCGCCACTGCTTGCTGAGGTCTCTGTTGAGGGTATATTGACTTCTCCCCGCCCAGTTAGTGGTCCACTGAACCTTTGCGTGCCGGAGGTCTAAGGTGGCGGGAGGGGTGGGGTTCTAGCCTGGTGGGGACGGGAGTGGGTATGTGTGTGAGGCCATGGGCACCGCCCCCCTCCCTCCCTGCCCTGCTTCGGCCCCACTTACGTGGGCTCCAGCACCTCCCTCCGGCATGTGGGAAACACACCCGCGAATCTTCTTTCCGCTGACAGTCTAGGAATGGAAGGGGATGTCGGGAAGCAGAATGTCAGGAAGAAAAAAAGTCGGCAACTTTTTATAACTCCACACGTGTGTTGGGGTGCCTGGGTGGCTCAGTCGGTTAAGCGTCCGACTTCGCCTCAGGTCATGATGTCGCGGTTTGTGAGTTTGAGCCCCGCATCAGGCTCTGTGCTGTCAGCTCAGAGCCTGGAGCCTGCTTCGGATTCTGTCTCCTCCTCTCTCTGCCCCTCCCCGACTTGTGCTCTGTCTCTGTCTCTCAAAAATAAATAAATGTAGAAAAAAAATGATTTTAAATTCCACACATGTGAGCATCTTTTGTTTTTTAATACATTTAAAAAATGGATCTGTTTTTAAAAACACAGCATCAGTAGTATTCAGGGGAGAGGGGAACAAGAGAGGATCTTTAAGCATTCAGGCTCAATTATCTGTCTTTTATTAAAAAAAATTTTTTTTTAACGTTTTATTTTTTTAAGAGACAGGGACAGAGCACGAGCGGGGGGGGGGGGGGGG